CATCCCCAGTGAATGGGCAGAGGCGAGTCCTGCGCAGCCCTGGGCTCCCACTGGCACACACCGCACCGCAGGGCTCTGCGGATGCTGAGCGCTCACATGGCCCCGGCGGGGAAAGGGGCAGTGCCGCTTCGAGGGGTCATAAGTAGAGGAAACCGCCTCCCTGGACCCAGAGGTGCCCAAAGAAGGGGTGGACAAAGCGATGGGAAGCCCCGACATCGCTCAACCCCATCCCCGCAACTGGTTGAGCTGTGACCCATCTGGGCTCCAGTCTGCTGCCAGCTCATCCCCACCATCCCGACCCAAAGAAGGGACACGCAACCCCTTTTGGGGCCACAGCGTTCCCCTTAACTCACATCTCTCCTCCTCCTCCTCCCTCTCCATCCGCAGCGAAAGCCCCGCCGGCAGCACGAGGAGGGGGATTAGGGCGAGACTAATGCGGGCGCCCCGCAGCCGCCTCCCCCGGGCACCAGTAAAACCAGCAGAAACCCCAAATCAAACACAGCTCAGTACAATTGCGGAGCTGCAGGCACAGGCCTGAGAGAGCATTAAGCAGCATTATTCTGGCTCGGCGTACTGCCGGTAGTGACATTACCGCAACTGCAAATGTTTGGGATCAGGACTGCAGCATCTATTCTTTTCTGCGGGTTTTGCCTGGGCTGCGTTTCCATTTTTTTTTTCTGAAGAAAAATACCTGTTTGGCTCAAACAACCTCCTGTACTTTGCTGCTCAGCTCTCCGGGGTTTTTCTTGCCTTCCCGCTCCGCGTCGTACATCAAAGGCGGACGGATGCTTCGCCCTCGCTGCAGCATCCTGACGGAGCATCCGTGCTGAGCCCAAACATTTTCCTTCACCCGTCCTCGCTGCCAGGTTGTCTCCATTCACATCCTTTTTTCTTTTTTTTTTCTCCAGTTTCCCTTTCTGAAGTTGAATGACACTGTGCTAATTTGTAGCCCGACTCCTCCTGAGACTATGGAGCTTAATTATATTTTTCTCGTCGTTGGTGAATGGCTCGGCTATAATTATGCCTTGGAAGTGCATTACTTAGGATTAACCTGAGGGCAGCATCCCCTCTGGGGTGCTGGGGCAGCAGCAGCTCCCAGGAGCTGTTATTTAAGGTGCTGAACACCAGGGCCCCATAAACCTTGTGCTGGAGAGGAGCTGGGTGTTTGCCAAATGCCGCCCATCTCCCATATCCCCAGCCCTGGTAACGCATAGCATGTATCCCCTCGTCAGTAGTCCAGCCACTAATTACAAAACCTTGAACTGTGGTAGCAGAAGGAAATCCTGGAGAGAATTAGGGTCTGTCCTCCTTGCATTAAGAGCGCCAGCATCCGTCGCAGAGAGCTGGAATTGGTCCTGAGCTCCCCCAGATGCTCCACGTGCATCTATCTTCCACACCCAGTGGTCGTGGCGAAGCCAAGGGCTGAGGATGAGCCTTCTGGCCCGGATATCACATTTGAGTTGCCCAGGATGCACCAGTGCCTATGGAAAATTTGCATTAGGTATCAATGCCATCACTAACGAGATGAGAGCCGCTGTCTCCAGTGCATCCTTCAATCTTCCAGGGTAGAAGCAGAAAGAGTGACGGCTCTTGGCTCACACGAGAGGTGAACGAAGCACCCCATAGCACAAAGAGGACACCCTGCACCTTCATCCTGAACAGGCTGGAAATGGGCTCGCTCCCCAGCTACCTCTGAAAACCCAGAGTTGATATCAACGGCAGTTTTTCCGACCCGATTCGTAGCTCTTCTCACCCATCGACTTTACACGAATTATTTCAGCGAATGGGAGGTACAAGAGGGAAGAAAGCCTTATTTCACTTTAATTGCATCGAAGGAAATTTAGGAGAACCATCTACTGTACCTAAAAACTATTCCTTAAATGAGCTGACTTTTCTGTGTCACGGATAACATAGTACTCTGTTCAGACTAAAACAACTTGAAGAATCCAATTTATTTGTCGTCAGTACACTGTGTTTTTAGCCTACTTTCCTCAGGAAACAGGGCTTACTTACGTGATTGTGCTGTTTATATATCTATATGCCATCACTCCCACACTAATAACTTTTGAACGTGTTGGCCAATTCCAACCAAATCTGACAGAGCGGCAGAGTTTTCAAAAATACGGAATTCTTACAAATTTAATGAAATACGTGGGTGGGCACATATTTTCCCCCACCAACGGAAAGGCTGCAGAGTGAACTCAGCCACATTATTAGACAGAAGAGAATACACACACACACACATCCAGACACGCACCAGTGCTGCTAGAAAATCCCCAGGTGCCGGTAAGCCCGACCTCCCGTTGGTATTAGAGGGGGAATATTGCACCCCTGAGCCCCAAAGCCACTGAAATGGGCATCAGGATTCCTCTGCCAATGCACCCGCTGCCTGGTTTGTGCATTTCTTTCCATTTGGATGATGCGATTTGGTGTGGGCACTGCAGGGGAGTGTTTATTCCTTTAGAAGCTTTAAAATTAATCATAGTAATTGTATGGAAGCCTTTCTAGCTGGGTCTAGGTTTGTAAAACTTTGCTCTCTTCTGCTTCTGCATGCCAAGGAGGGGTTGTCGGTGCAAAAACCCTGGCAAAGGGGAAGAGCTCCAGCTGAAGGATGGTGGGTTTCGGACAAAGCAGCTCTCCTCGTTTGCATTTCCAGGTCCTTGGACCTCTCCTGCGTGCAGCCAAATTGCAAACCCAAGACTCCCTCCAAGATCTTGGGGCTGAGCCTGTACCTGGATCCCACCAGCCCCGCAGCTCCAGCAAAGCCTAAATCCTGCGATCCCATCCGGCTGTAGCCGAATGCTCTGGCTCCTCGTTGACACGTTTCGGAGTCTCAACACAAACCATTAACACCGGTGGCAAAAGCTCCCGGGACGGATGTCGCCCGCGGTCGGTAACCCAGCGCTAATGCACAGCGGGCGTCACGCCGGCGGCCGGCTGCCCCCGGCGCGCGCAGCGAGAGACGGGCCGCGCAGCGGATCGATAACGGGCTTTGCAACGCACCGGAGGCGATGGCTGTGCCATGAAAAGAGCAAAGCCCTGGCTTCCCGGCGCTCCCTTTCTTCCAACCGAGCGCTAACGGCGGAGGGAGCCGGGCTGCGGGATGGAGATGGTGGGTTGCTCATGGAGCGTTTTCTGGAGGGACCACATTCAGTCTCTGACGGAGTATCCTCGAAGCTGTGCACTCCCATTCCTTTATTCCTTCGCCGATGATTAAAGGGGTCCTCTGGGTGGTCCCCAAACCCCACGGCTTTTCTCTCTCCTCCCTGCACAGATGTGGCCACAGGCTGCATCCTCCCTCCCAGCACTGCTGCTGCGCTCCCGCAGAGCTCAGGACCACGTTACCCCCACCAGGATGAGGAGGAAGGTATTCATGCCCTGGCATTCCTACCTGATGTGATATTTTCCTTCTCCTCTCTCATAATCAGAAGGTGGAAGATTATATGCCAAGAGCTCATCAAAGTATCTCCAACATTGGGGGGGTCATATCCACTCCCATTCTTACGGATTTCCAGGACCATTACTGTCTGGGGATGGAGGATGCTCAGACCCAGCATCCCACGGCATCCCAGAGCTCCCCATTTCCAGGGTTCAGGCCTTTGTATTGAGACATTCACATCCTCAGATCACAGAGAAAGATCTGGTCTCTCTGCTGCTCTGCATTCTGGTTCCTACCTGGCAATCTAGTGGGATTTTTTTTTTTTTTTTTTTTTTCAAAGCTTTGACAACAATTTGGTACAACATCAGCTTGAAAACATCATCGAGCTCAAACACGCTCCCAAAGCAGACCTGGGAGGCGCATTCACATTTCAGATAAGTCATCAGCAGACATGCTGATAAAGATTTCAAGCGTGACTCTGCATACGAATGATCCAGACCCAACAATTCATCCAGCCCGGGCGGCTGAGGAGGTACCTGGGTTTTTCCCCTAACACCAGCCCTTTTTTCCCCAGAAAGGAATGACCATGCTCTATGAAACCAACCCCAAAAGTGACACAAAGAGCCCTGAATTCGGCAGAGCAGCCTTTTCTCCTCAGCTCACCTCTTGTCTGGGCACTCACTGCAAGTCACGAAGCTCCGAGACGCTTGAGCTGGACCTTATTTCAACTGAAATTAGACATGAACCATTTTTTCCCCCTTGCTCCTGCTGGTTTTTGAGCCGGATCAGGTCCCTGCTCTGAATCACTGAGCAGTTCCATGGTGGTCCCAGCCAGCCTGGGGAGTGGGAGCTTCTTGAGGATTATTTGGGCACCCCAATCTGCTGCTTTCTAGCAGAGCCTCAGGCAGGGCAAACCCCCCCCCAAGCATCAGCTACAGCCAGTGATTTTACTGCTTTTTCACTCAAAACCTCTTTTGGGAACAGAAATAGCTGGGAATCCTCCCAGCATGGGCCAACCCTGGGATGGTTTCTCTTGGATATAAATCAGACAGGATACAGGGAAATAGCATCTCAGCAGCTCTTCTGCTAAGGGTATCACCCTGCTTATGAGGAGGCTTATGAGGAGAAACGGGGTGGATAACTCCTAAGTGATGGCTCTCAGCCTGTGAGCTCCACGCAGTGACCCACAAGTGTGGTCCCACCACAGTGCAACCACCACCAGCTGCAGCGGATGCACCGCCCTGGATGACCCCTCGGCGGCTGGTTTGGGAAGGTCGTGCAGCCACAGCTCGCTCGGAGCTGGCAGAGGGACAATTCGGCTTGGATCCACCCCATTGTGACCATCATCCAGGAGGTGTGGACAAGCCCAGAGGCTTGGCTTTCCAGGACGCTGCCCACTCCCCCTATGGGGTCCAGGTTGTCTGCGCCAGCAGATGCCCACCGCCCCACCTGCCTGACTCCAGCAGCTTCCCTAAAACACTCCCCTGAGCACCTACTACCACAGAAAGTCTCATCCCACTTCTCCCATCAAACCACAACCGTTGGGGCAAGACCCCTGCC